CTTGCATTCCCACCAGCAATGAATAAGTGTTCCTATTGCACCACCGCCTCACTGGGATTTAGAATGGCCAGTCATTGGGCGCTAGCTACTCTGGTAGGTATACAGTGGCGTCTTATTGTTTCGATTTGCCTTTCCCTGGTGACTTAGAAAGTACAAAATGTGGTTAAGTGCTTATTACCATCTGTGTATGTTCTTTAGAGAAGTAGAATATTCAAGTCTATTGCCCATTTTAAATCAAGTTGGTTTTATATTGTTGACTTTGAAAGGTTCTTTTTGTTCTTTGGATAACAGTCTCTCCTTAGATGTGTTTTGCAAAGAATTTCTCCCAGTCTTTGGCTTGGCTTGATGTTTTCCTAACAGTGTGTTTCACAGAAGCTTTTCATTTTAATCGGGTCCATCTCGCCAATTTTTCTTTCCATGGATTATGCTTTGGGTGTTGTTATCTGAAAACTCATTGCCAAACCCAAGGACACTTAGATTTTATTTCTTTAAAGATAACATGCATATTAATGTTACAGAGTGCAGCCAGAAATGTTCTGGGAACATTTTAATTCTCAACAGTCTGAAGAAAAAGAAAAAGAGAAAACATCTTTCTAGCATTTGCTGACTTCTGTGGCGTAGGTCTTGCTAGCCTGGCCATTTCTAAGGTGCCAAGCTTGCATCACTGAGTATAGAATTGGGAAGAGACCCTCACCATCGGCTGTCGTGCTGCTATGTGAGCCAACTCCAGTGAGAAGGGAAAGAGAGCAAGACCAGAAGATCACACGAAGCATCTGATGACCGTCTCCTTTGGGCCCGTCCACATCTCATGGGCGCCTGAGAAAGTTCTGCATATGGGGTCCTGGTGTTGTCCTGAGGTCTTGTAATGTCAAGGTCTCCCCTATTTCTCCAGCCAGGGCACCTGTTAGGGCCCACTCTGTGGGCATTTGAGTCCCCTCTGCACTCCTCTGGCCTAGGCCGAACTTTCCTGTGGCTGCTGTAACAAATGGTCACAGGTTGATGGCTCATAAATAACTGCCGGTTCTGGAGGTCAGAAGTTAGACGCTTCCAGAAGCTGCTGTGTCCCAAAGCCAGCTGTGGCCAGAGCATCCTCAGCTAGTGGCTGGGCTGACACAAGCCTCCTTGTCTCACTTTAAAAAATCTTTTAAAAATTTTTATCAGTCCACGTTTGCATTCCTCGTGTGGAGTTGCTGCGTGTACAGAACACATACACTTTTTTCATCCCCTCCCCCTCCCCTTTCTCCCCGCCTTCATCTCTTGGTTCTCTTCCCTTTTGCAAAAGACCTGGCTCCTCGTTTCCTATTGTCTCTTTTATTTAGCTCTTTAATTTATAGTCTGGGTTTCTCCTATAAGAGAAACCATGTAATATTTAAGCTTGTGCATTTGATTTGTTTCACTAGCATCATGGTCTCAAGATGCATCCATTTTCCCACAAAGATGCAAGTTTATCCTTCTTTATAGCCACATAATGCTCCACTGTGTGTGAATACATTTTCTTCATCCATTCATCCAGGCATATAGCCTGCTTCTAAGATTTAGGTATTATGAATTGTGCTGCTATACACATAGATGTCCATGGATCCCTGTGGAATGATACCTTAAGTCTTGCTGGAAAGTTCTTTCTTAGAAGATGAATAGCTGAGTCAAATGGAAATTCTAATCTTTTTTTGGTAGCAGAGTTCGAACTCACAACCTCACGTTTGCTAGGAAGGCACTTAGGCCACTGAGCTGAATTCCCAGCCCTCTAATCTTTTTCTTTTCTTTTCTTTTCTTTTTTGAGGAATCTCTACACTACTTTCCACAGCGGTTATATCAGTCTACACTCCCGTGCACAGTGGAGAAGCGTTTCTTTCTCCTACAGCCTCACCAGCATTTATTATTTGATTTCGTGAGGAAGGCCATTCTTTCTGGGGTAAGGTGGAATCTTGGTATTGTTTTAATTTACATTTCTTCTCATTTAAGGGTGCTGGCAAGGACACTGAGCCCATTTCCATAATCTGGGGTGACTGCATCTCAAGATCAGCTGGTTAGCAGCCTACTTCTCTTTCCCTAGGGAATCCCCCCCCCCACAGGTTCTGGAGACAGGTCCCTGGGGCCTCTGGGGAGCCCTGTCTCTGCCTTCCCCAGGCCTCCTGAGCGCTGCTTCCTCTGCACCCGCCCTCCCGCTCTCCCTGTTGTGGTTGGATGCTCCCTCTCTCCCTTTCAGCCTGCGTCCTCTGGTTCGTGCCCGCTCTGGGGCCTTGTAGACGCTGGCACCGGTCTTCTCTTCACTAAGTTTTTGCTCCTAATCTATGGTCATGAGGAAAACGCTTCCTTCAAAAGCCCATTGCCCTGGTCTTGTCTCTCACTAGTTATTACCATCTCTCTTTTCTTTAGCGTTACCTCTCTAGAAAGAGCAGCCTGAGTCTGTCACCCTGCATTCACTCACCCATCCACGTCCTAAAGATTTTGTATCAGGCACCCACCGGGCACCGCAGCATGGAACCAGCAGGAAAGGTGTCTGGCCCCCAGTGAGGAAGAAAGGCACTCGGCACGGTTTCAACCAACTCTTGTGAGTGCAGTGGTAGGGGAGTAGAGGTGCTGAGGGTCCCAGGGGCAGAGCTGGCCCTGAGGGGAGGGTGACAGTGAAACCGATGGAGGCCACAGGCGCTTCAATGAAATGAGCATTTCACTCAGTGGTGTCTGACTTCAGCCTTGGTGAAGCACCTCTCTGCCCAGCCCCTGGGATTTGCCGTGCCCACCGGGTAAGTTTTCGTGCTTACTTTACCCGGTCACCAGGTCAAGCACTTGTGCACGGAATGATGCTTCCCTACCTGCCGTGACGGGCTCTTTGCTTCTGCACCTCTCTGACCAGCTTTCTCCATCCCGTTCCAGGTCTCCTCTTCCTTGGCTGTCCCGTCAAGCCTGAATTAGGGCTCATCGCTCTTCTGTGCTTTCTTGTATGGGCAATGTCACCCACTTATGGATTTGTCCCCAAACTTTGTTTTTTTTTCTTTTTCTTTTTTTAAAACAGGGCCTCTCTATATAATAAGTTCAAGACCAGTCTCAAGGCTGGTTTTGAACTTACAATGTAGCCCAGGCTGGCCTTGAATTTGCACTGGTCCTCCTGACTCAGCCTTTCCAAGAGTGCTCAGATTTTAGGTGTGTACCACCATGTCTGGGCCGAATCTGTGTATCTGACTTTTTTGTGAGCTTCAGACCTAAACTCAGCCTCATCCTGGACATTTACCTTCCTCATATATAGCAGGTCCCAAACTGGTTTCAGCACCCCACCCCCCTTGCTCCTCAGCTGAGTCTTGATTTCTGAAAAGTGGTACCACTTGCCACCGAGCTGCAATAAACCACCACCTAAGTACAGGGTGAGAGCATCCTTCACCTCAAGATTTGAAATGTAAAATGCTCTGAAATCAAAACATTTCTTGTCTTGAGCATTTTGGAAAAAGGTTAACTTCTGTCATCTTCGACTTTTTTCTCTCCTTTCCTCGGCCACAAATTCCTGTTACTTTTTAAATGTGCCACCCTTCTCTCTGTCCCCAGCCTCGCTGCCCCGTGATCCATCTCCCATACCTGGCCCCACAGTGCTCCAGGGCCAGCCCTCGCTCTCTCAGTCATGCCCTGCCAGGCCGGGGCACACTGCCGTCCAGGAACGCTGACCTCCTGAGCCCCACGCACGTGGCTCCCGCTTAACACACTAGATGCTGCTGCTCAGACTGCTTCCGTTCCAGCGGTGCTTGCTTGGCCTCTCGTCGTGGTTCCCCATCTACACACCCTTTCGCAAGAGCTCACTTTGTATGACGCGCTACTCAGATTCCTGTTCTCATCTGCATGCTTAGGAGACTGACCTACGTTGTGTGTGTCCGCAGCTCGTTTATGCCGCATCCCATCAAGTGAATACACCACAACTGTCTGGCCCACTGGAGAGACTCCAGTTGTTTCCGGTGATGACAAACAAGGCTCTATGAATATTCTTACCCGTGTCTTTTGGTGCACTGAGCTTCACACTTCTCAAGGTTCCTGCCACATCTGAGTAGAAGTGCTGCGTCACGGGCCAGGTCTTCCGCGATTCTCCGCATAATGCCAACTGCTCTCCAAAGCGGTGTGAGAGAGGACCCCCCAGCCCACAACCCCTGCGATGCCTGAGACCGCCAGTTTAAAAGGTGTGCCGTATGCGGGTGTGCTGCTGTAGCTTGTGGGCTTTCAGTGTGCATTTCTCCAGTGACAGATGCCACTAAGTTCTTCCTTTTTTATAATCCCTGTAGATTTTTAGATATTTGACATACATTTTATGTAGTGAAATGTTTACTGCAGCAAACTAATGTGTCTCTCATCTCAGTTACCTCCTTTTTTCAAATACCTAAAATCTACTCTTGAGCAAAAATACCAAATGCTCTAATTATAATCCTCAGGATGACATTAGAACTCTAGCCTTTTCCAGCTTGTAATTTTTTATGATGGAAGCTGGTTTAAAGCTCTATAAAATGTGTGAGTGGTCACAGCCAGGGTTTTGCATTACTTGAAACTGTTACACATTATACATACTTACACCATCAGAATGGTCTTTATGCAGACTAGATGAGAAAACGTTTTCTACTCGGAATCAGATGTATGTCCTGGTCAGTGGATATGACAGTGATTTGTACTGAGGCTCTATACATCTAAAAGATACTGCCAGGCGTGACAGTGCACACTTACTTATCCCAGCTCTTGGGAGGCTGAGGCAGGAGGATTGCTGAGTTTGAGGCCAGCCTGGGCTACAAAGTGAGTTCAAGGCTAGCCTGAACTGCATAGCAAAACCTTGACTCAAAAAAAGACAAATAAAAATTAATTATAAATATACTGGGGCTGCCAATGGGTCATAAACTAGGCTGGCCAATTGTCAGTCAAAAATGGAAACAAAGGTTGCAGGTAAGGAACATGGACAGGAGAGTCAGGAAAAGACAAGACAATGGGCATCACACACATTTCAGATGCATACACAGTTACCTCCCTGAGAAAAGTGCTAGGTTTTAGTTAATATATTTATTACAGCAGGTCTCTAGTCGTTATTGCAATGAAAAATTCTCAGGAAATTTCACAAAATTCTTTAAGCAATTAGTATTAGCATTTTTCTTTTTATGAAGTGACACTTTGTTAATTTACGAAATATTTACAGCGTTTACAAAAAGCAAGAGAATGTCTAGTAAAATTTCTTATAATTACAAAATTCATACATTATACTACTATATTTGAGATGTCTTATTTGGTACAGCAATTAAGCTATGACATAAAATAATTTACAAAGATATATTTAATCTCTTAATTCATTGAAAACAAAACCATATTAGCTATAAATAGTCCTTTACAAATCATTGTAAAACACATTAATTGTTTTAACTCTAGCTTTAGCATTTACAAATATACTTACTAAATGAATTAGCTCAAATATCAAATACAACTGTGCACTTTAAATTTCATTTAATACTACAAAACAAACAAAATAAAACAACCTGAAAAAGCAAACTGCCCGGTATTTCAAGTAAAAATTTGTAGAACCAGTTTTTATGCACGCTTTGGGGGAGGGAAACCCAACACCATTTAAACTGAAATACATAAACAAAATACTTCCAAGAATACAGTCCACAAATGTACATCTGGGGCATTTATGTCAAAGAATGATGCTCTAGCAGTAGCTCATGCACCCGAGATGGTTAACCCTACATTCCGGCAGATGGGCTGCACTGACTAGAGCCGTATTTGCGCAAACATTCACCAAAGCAGCAGGAGAAACCCAACATTTACACAGTGCTGTACATCAAACAGTGTTATATATGGGGTTTGCCCCAACCTGAAAATAATTCAGAGTTTTGGGCAAGCTCATGAGAGAGTCTAGAAAGTAGAGCTGGCAACGTGAAGAAATATCAAATCATATTTAACTGGGTCCCATCGGTTTAATATAAAAATATGCTTCTTTTGAAAATTAGGGGAAAACTCCAAAAATTCAAAATAATGAACAACTCACCTAACAGAGACAGTATTTCTCAAGTCACCACTTAGGATGGTGTGAAAGTTGGCAATTGTTTAACACTTTGCTTCTGGAGAATGCTGAGTGAGCTGAGATTAGTTTGGTTTTGATGGTCACACCCACCTTTCACATTTGGATTCATCTCCGAGAATCCGAAGCAACTGCTGTATTATAAGCATCATAAGGAAAATCCCCTTGACAAACATTTTCCCCCTCTGATTTAAAATAATACAGTTGCAATTAAGCTCACAAAACACATATATATATGTAGCATTTCTACAGAGATAAATTAAATTTTATCTTTCAAAAACTGCTTTCTAAAGGTGTTAGGATTTTCCAGAACCTCCTCTTGGCTCCTTTCTTCTGATTGCCGCGGGGACACTGCAGTTTTCTTGTAATGGGTATTCTAGAAGGCACGTCTTCAAGATTTAAGATAAGGTTAGTTCAAGTTCTACATGGAGGCAAATAGTTTAATCTACTTTGTACAGATGCCCACAACTGCTTCCTTTATTCTGAGCTCAAACAAGTGCCAGGGTTCCCCCTCAGAAGTGGGTTTGCACGTGGGGCATCATTTGCGATGGGGAGGTCGGGGGGTCGGACAGCTTGGCGGAGTTGGCGAGCTGCAGCTCCTCCAGCCGCTTGATATAGTCGTCACGCAAGGCCAGAAGCTCCATGTAGCGCTGCTCCACGGGGTTTGGCTGCTGGAGAGAACCAAGGACACGAGTTACGCTTCAGGTGGTCACGCGCCAAGAATACGCCTGCCCACACATCTGCTGCAATCACTACCTTGCAAATAAACCCTTTTCATGGAGGGTTAACAGGATACCCACATTCCTTCACACGGCACTGCTGACATGCAGGGAACGGCACTCAGAGTCCTAAGACACCCAGCTACTCGTCACCAAGAAATAAGCGATGCGGGCAATTCCTGACACATGCGTTGCCATCTTTAAAACTATCAACCCGGACAGAGCTCTGATCTCCCGTGTCCCTGTCCCCAGACCCACTGCCCTCTTTTCACTCAGAAGGACAATGGTTCTCGAGGTGGCAGGGCCCTCCTTCCTGTGCAGATCTGTGACACCTCTCCGAGAAGTGAGTACCCAGGAATGTGCCATACGCATCCTTTAGCTCTTGCCTCAGTTTATACTGCCACTACCACCATGGGTGTATGAGTGACGCTCTGGCCCAGGGCTGTTTTCTGAATTCAGTTCCAGTTTGATCTCTCTGCAGGGACTGACCAGGGGACCCCTGTGTGCCCGTGCCGAGGGTACCCCTGGTACACATCTCCTTTCACAATTTCCTTGCTCACACATGTGAATGTTTCTCCAGGCAATCTTCCTAGGTGTGGGGCTGCTCAGAAGCTGTGCAGTCTTTTCAGACTCACTCTGTGCTGTCAGACTGTCTCGGCTGGGGCTGTCGCCTCTGGCTCCCTGGCAGCTCCTGCTGTCTGCACACTCTCCAGAAGTGGAGAGCAGTTTTTTTTTTTTTTTTTTATTAACTGGAGGGCTATTCTATGGCATACCCTGGTGGGGTGAGTCTGCTCATATAACATACAACATGGCTCTAAGTCTTGGGTTTGCTCCGTACCAGCTGGACAGCCAACCTTCTGGGAATCTCCATTAACCTATCTGAAAAATGGGAATCAAAACTGTGTGGGCCTCACAGCATTGCTATGAGCGAGAAGTGAGTTAACAATCTGTTCTGCTAGGATTTCTTTGATGGGTACTCAGGGGACTGATGCTTTAAAGGCAGAACTGGGGCTCCAACACAATGCAGCTCTTTCTAGCACGTTTATTTTCTAAAGTCTTATATTAGGATATAAATCACAGACAGTGCACACGTCTTAAAATGCTTAGCTCAATCAATCTCTACGTAAGTATATTAGGTGTGACAGAAAAACATGGTGAATGTTTCAACTGAAAATTTATTACAGCCATAGATACTGTCATGAATTCCCCTCAAAATACTCCCCTATACACACCCCATGGCTCTTTCTGCAGCACTTCTGGAAGTCCTCTCTCCTGAGTGTCTTTACTTGCACTATGGTAGCTGCCTTGATGTCGTGAACTGATTCAGAACACTGACCTTTCATGGTCACTCAAACTTTGGGGAAGAGCCAGAAGTTGCACGGCACCCGACCCAGGGAGTCAGGTGCAGGACAACACTCTGCCCTGTTTTCACAAGGCTGCCTTCCTGCTGGATGGCACTTGGCAGCAGCACTCACTGTATTTTTGATCATACCTTGGAAAGACATCCAGGAAAGGAGAGTTCCAGAAATGCTTTGGAAAGTGGCAAGAACAATGGGATCTGTGTATCTGAAGGGAGTGGATGTATTCCGGGGGGGATTTGTGGCATTGTGTCTTTTACTGTAACTTTTTTAAAAAAAATTAAATATACACTATATATATTGATCACACCTGGTACAGTAAGTAAACTGTTTCCTGGACATGAGATATGACAGATCTCCCCAGAAAGCTAATGTTTTGAAGCAATCAGAAGCAAGCTTCGCAGAAAGCCTGAGCAACATATGAAGACATTAAGGAAAAGAACTGAAGGCTTTCCTTTGGCACATGTAGTGGCTTCCAGAATAGTCCTGCATTCAGCGACAGTCAGCTATCTGCTAGTGCTGTGAGCTCCACCTGTGTGTCTGTATCTCAAGGGTCCCTCTTCTGTACCTTGGGAGAATACTCATCATGAAATTTGTTGCCCACTCTAAATAAAGGATGGACCTCATTTTGAGATTCTCAACAGAATTACAAGTGCAAATACCATTTTCTTAAACAAGATCACATTTATAGTTTCTGGGTAAAATAGCCTTTTTGCAGAAGACAGCACCCTTTATTCCACTACAGGTTGCTATGGGGTAAACTGGCTAAGGGCAAGGACAAATGTAAGTGTCATGGTTTGTATCTAAATGACTGCCTTATGTGACCATCAGCCAGACTTCTGGAAGGTGACTGGGTTTCAGCTTATACTTGACTGACTTGCTGTTAGGAGGTGAGACCTGGTGGAAGAGACAGGTCACTGTGGGCATAACCAGGAAGGTGATATCTCCCTTTCAGCACCTCCCCTGACTTTACTTCCTGAATGTGATGAGGTAAATGGCTTTACTCTGTCCGGGCCCTTCCAGTGTGCTGCTTCTGCCCTGGGGCCAGCTGATTAGACAGCAACTTCTACAACACATGAGCCAAAACAAACTTTTCCTCCTTTAGTTTGTTGGTGTTGGGTACTGTATCTCAGTGACAAGGAAAGTAACTCAGACAAATTTTGGTACCAGACAAGTAGGATCCTTACTGTGATGCTAGCTGGCCATGATGTTCAAAACCCTTTGGAAGTAGTTTGTAGGAGTTTAGAAAGGTATGGAGATATCTGCTGGAGAAGAGGCCCTAGAATATTGTAAGATTCATTTGACAGGAGATTCTTGTTGGAGCTCAGAAGATCAGAAGGCTAACAAAAAGGCAGATGGTAAAGACCAGGCTCAGGAGGCATCAGGAACAAGGATTCCATTGGCAGTTGGGCTCCAGGCCACATGTTGCTATGCTTGAGCACAAAATGTGTCTACTCTGTGGGAGACTGAGATTAAAGGTGCTAGACTAATTAATCTAGTGAAAGAAATTTTAAGGCAGTCTAATGTTCAGGCTGTAGCATGGATACTGCTAGCTGCTTTTAGATACGTTTCTACTGAAAGCCAGGAGCAAAAAGCCTATTTGAAAGTTTTTATCTTGGCTAGAAAGGCAGTCCATGCAAAGGTGGTACCTTGGAGAGCAAGGTTACAGGAAAGATTGAAAAGAAGCCAAGAACTTTACAAGAGGACAATAGAAAAGATCACTTGAGGGTGTCACAGGAACGAGCAAGATCTGCCCTTCAAGGGCTCAAAGTTGCAAACTGGAAGGATTGCTTGGAGAGGAAAGCTAAAGCTCCAAGGCATGCTATCTGAGAACAGCTGCACAGGCCACTGATTCTTCACTTCACAGTTCAGCCGTCCAGGTACTCAGAGGCCTCTAGAGACATGGTTCAAGGGAACCTGGCCACTGCTAGAACTGGTAATATGCTTTGGTGTCATCTGCATGGTACTGGTTGTATGCACATGTGAAATGCAAGAGTTGTGGGACTGGGGAGGCTTCTACCCAGATTTCAGAAAAAGGCCTGGGAGGCCAGGCAGGATACAGTGCCCCTGAGAGGGCAATGCTTCCAGCTGTGAGTGAAATTGCAAGTGCAGTGGAAACCCCAGGAGTTGGGAAAGCCAGGAATGTCTGAGGAAAGCCACAGAGAATGAGAAAAGCCAGTCCAAGGGAGAGGACATGAGGGCTATAACCACCAGCAATGCTTAGAGATGGGGATACCCAAGCTCTTTAGAGCTCATAGCTTGCCACGACTTGTCCTGGGTACTGGACATGGAGAAACAGATTCAATGCTTGCCCTGCTGGGTTTAGTTCTTGCTTTTGTCCAATTCTTCTCTATCCTCCTATTCTTCCCTTTGCCATTGTATCAGCAGTGTTTAACTTTCTTAATATTACTAGGGCTCATAGCTCATAGCTTGCCTTAAGTCTCAGAAAAGACTTTGGACTTGTGACTTTTCAGCAATGCTGAAACTGTTACGACTGGTGATTCTTAGATGGACTAAATGCAATCTGTTCAGAGCTATAAATGAGTCTTTTGGGGGTTGGGGGCAGAATGTTATGGTTTATATCTAGATGTCCTCCTAAAGCCTCATGTGATCCTAGATGGGACCTTTGGAAGATGACTGATTATACAGCAGCATTATAAGTGACTTGTTGATAGGAGGTAGGGCCTGATCAGAAGACTAGCCTCACAGGGATGTTCTTAACTCCCTCCCTTGAGTCTCTACCTGCTTCCTGAATGTGATGGAGTAAGCAGCACTCCTCTGCCCTGGCCCTTACACCGTGCTGTTCTGCGGTGAAGCCAGCTGACTATGCTGCAACCGCTATAAAAATCAGCCAAAACAAACCTCTTATTTAAATTGTGGGTGCTTGATATTGTGTCCCAGCAACAGTAAAACCAACTAAGACACCACATTTCTACTGGGATTGCTGCCTTCACTAGCACGACGGTCACAAGTGTCCATCAGTGCTGTTCTCTCAATCCTATTTCTCAAATCACTGCTATCCTCAGTGTGGATTTGTACTGTGGGGTTTTCCAGAAGTGAAGACACAGCCCTGGAACAGGAATGCCCCTAAAACCTAGTAACAGTTGCCTGCTAACATCTCTTGCCCGTTTTTCTCTCTGCATAGTCAACAGAGGGTCAGAAGCCATTCTAGGTACTCAGGACCAGAGAAGCAGAAACCCCGTTCTTATGACACTTATCTTCCAGCAGGGGGAGCCAGACAAACAAGGAATAAAATCCCTGGGAGCGGGAATGTTTGAAGCTGGTCTGCACCAGGGAAAAGGCCAGCAAGGCTGGAGGGTGAGGATCGGTGAGGTGCTGGTTACCCTCTCAATTGGGTGTTGGGGGCTGCACTGAAGAGGGGAGGCAGGTAGGTATCTGAGTGTGTGCAGAGGGATCAGCGAGGTTGAATGTGTGAAGCAGAGATCAGAGAAGCAGAGGGTGGCACGGACACCACAGGGGGCCTCAGTGGCCACTGCAGGACTTGGGCCTTGGTGCACAGGGAGGAGGCTGCTGCCTGGCTAGTTCCAAGTGCAGCAGTGGTGAAACCTGAGGTCCGACACACAAGGACTGCCTTGGCCGTGAGGAGGACAGACTCGGGGGCAGTGAGGGGAGCCCCAGAGACCAGATGAAAGGCCACTGCCACGTGATACCTGCAGTAGGTGGGGGACTCTGATGTGCTGGGAAGGCCAAGGTCACGCGGTCCTTCTGGCCACCTGCATGGGGTGCAGGGGGTGGGGGGAGTCCAGGATGGCCATGGCTGCAGTGACTGGCACGGGGTCCGGGGATGGAAATGGGGGGACAGGAGGAGATGGCTGTGGGGGCACCTAAGGAGCTCTGCTTGGACGCATCAAGCTTGATTTGACAGCTTCTCCTCAATGAACAGTCTGCTCCTCCTCCTGTGCATTAGGATGTTGTCTCCTTTCTGTGTGTCTCTATGTCCGTCTGGGTCTAATTCTGGGTTCCGCTCTGGTCCATGAAAATCTCAAGATATACGGTAGGGCAAGCAAGTTCTTCCTCAACGGTCTCCCCGAATATCAGAATTCAGAATCGGTTTGAATAGTAAAATTTGTATGCAGTGATTCCCATATGATGAGACCAAAAAAAAAAAAATTATACAGAACAAAACCATGACTGTACAATTAGAAAACTTGAGAGAAGCAAAAAAGTTAGAAGCAAAAAGAAAATTCAGCCAAGTAATGGGTACCATATATAGAAAAGCCATTAGACAAAAGCCACTTAGAGGATATAACAGGAGTCCACTTGGGGTAAAATACAAAGACAAAAGAACCCGAATTTGGAATCCATTGACATTAACTTATTTTCTTTGTACCAGGGATTGAACTCATGACTTTAAGTATTATATGTCAACTTTTCTCTTGGGAAATGAGTTAGGGTCTGCTCGGCATGGCGCAGGAGCAGGCAATCGGCTAGTTATCCAGGTATCTCAGGCTTCAGAGTTTTCCTGCTCAGATGCCTTTAACGTTTCTAGGAGAAGTGACTTCAGTACCATCAGGGCAGCCTGCTGCTGTCTATTCCAGCTCTCACCCTTTCATGCCTGCTATGAAGAATCTGAATGTGTCCCGTGTAACTCTGGTGGACAGCTATGCAGAAAGGAGAGGTTCCCAAAGGGTCATACAAGGATCACTGACAGCGGAAGGTCCTACTCAGGCTGACCATGAGTCATGATCTTTTGGCCCGAGTCACTTCTTCATATTGCTACAGACAGCTGGGCCAATGTATACACGCCTTGCCATAAGCTCTGCTGAATCTTATGTCACATCAAGGGCTGGTTGCTTTTGCTTTTTAAGTCTGACAGCTCACTGGGAGTGGGGCTACGTATTCTTTGTATCTGACAGCAGACCACAGAGCATTGAGTATTGCAGTCACCCAGGAAGTGTATACTCTGGCTCATGTGACTGGATACCAGTTAAACTTTTAAGTGAGGACTAAGTACAATGTTTCAGGCCTACATTATATATATATATATATATATATATATATATATATATATATATATATTCATTTATAGAGATGTACATATTTTGTGGTGTGAGGGTTAACCCCTGGGCCTTGGGCATACTAGGCATGCATTCTACTACTGATACACCCCTGGCTTCTATGTTGTGTGATTTTAAAAGTCCTATGTGATTTGACTTAAAACTATTTCTGTATGAAATAATGTTCTACATAAGCAGATCTCTAAGAACTCCTAATGTACCTAATGATATGACTTTGAATTTAACTATTTCAGCAAAAACAAAACCCACAAAAAATCCACAACATCCCCCCGCCCCCTGAAACCAAAAGCAAACTTGACTTGTCACACAACTATCATTGTTATCTTTCTGTATTCAGGAATGAATTGTTCTACATTCCTTGAATTTCAAGAGTCTGTCCAGGCACAAAGCAGGTGAGAGACTGTAGAATCTGTACTGAAACTGTCAAAACGTGCTTAACGCCAAGGTTTTTAAAGTCATGGGAAGGACAGGAAAGGCTTATTTTATAAGGCATACGTAGTGCTCATTTAGGAAATAATTTTAAATTCCCATGTGCTTTTAACTTGGTAGTGTCAACACCAGAACCACTGCTAAGTAAATGCCCTCAATGTCCTGCTCAAATCCCAAACGAAACAAGCGAATGTTCTCCAGCCTTGGACTCGATCGCTTTCCAGAAGGATACGCATTTCAAACATTACCAAACTGTGAAAGCCTTTCATGGGAGCGGCAGGGACCTTGAACTGCATGTGCCAGCTTGCAGCGGGCATCTCCTTAGTAAGGGAGGGGCCAGTATGTGAGTGGAATAAGCAAACTGGGCGCGGGTGGCAGCCCTAGACCTCTGCTGCTGGCTAGTGGACTAGAGCAGGGCAGGACCATGAGAACAGGTAGCAGATGACACGCAAGCCTTCGCGAGGGCCGCCAGGAAGACTGAGTTTTATGATGCTTAGAACTGTCCAGTAAGAGGAGGCAGTTCTGGTCCAGCACAAAGGGGCCGTTTTGTCTTCTGATTTTGGGATGCAGTGTGGATGAGAGAATGGAAAGCCCAAGCGTCTGTACTAAAATGTGGAGTCTTTTAATTCAAAAGCCTATGTTGCCACATTTGATCAATAAGTAGCCAGTTGAGTTTGCTACCCACTGACAGGCCCAGTGTCTTTATTTTAAGACAGAAATCTTCAGTAAAAATAATGAAAGCTGGGAGCAGGGGTGTACACCTATAATCTCAGCACTTTGGAAGGCTGAGGCAGGAGGAACGCAAGTTCAAGTCTTGCCTGTGCAACTTAGCCCCTGCCTCAAAACAAAACAAAATTTTCAAAGGGGCTAGGGTTGTAGCTCAGTCTAAAGACCCTTGGCCCAATGCCCAGTGCCCATCCACACCACATATTCTGGTGCTTGCTGACCTAATATATACACAGGAACCAGAGAGTAGAAGGTACTCCCGCCTTAGCCAGGTCATTCTTTTTTTTTTTTTTTTTTTGTCTTTTTCCTTTTTATCGGTACCGGGGATCGAACTCACGACTGCCTGCTTGAAGGCAGGCACTTATGCCGCTGAGCTAAATCCCCAGCCCCTTAGCCAGGTCATTCTATGTGCTTGTCATAAAGAACACTGGCTCATGTGACTGGATACCAGTTAAACATAAAGAACACTGTAATGACGGCTGTACCCTAGGGTAAGTGGCCACTTCCAGGGTTACAGGAAACCTCTGGCTAGGAAAACGGAGACATTTTCGAGAGCTTTAACTGGCTTATGTCACAGTGAAACATTACAGCACACAGATGGGGCAGTGCACACCTGTAACCCCATGCTCCTCCGGAGCCTGAGGCAGGAGAATCACAGATTAGAGCTCAGTTTTTGCAACTCTGTGACTTTGTGTCAAAATAAAACATACAAGAGCTGGAGGTTTAGCTCAGCGGCACAGCACTTGCCTGGCAAGCACGAGTTTGAGTTCAATCTCTGGCACCAAACATAAATACATAAATAAATTTTAAAAAGAGCTGTAGCGTGTGTGAGGTCCTGATGATACAAAAACAAAAGCAAGAATGAAAACACTTGTAGCATTCATAGGGGCAGCGAAATCTAAGTTCCAAATACATGGTTTAGCAATTGAAAACAATGACAAATAGAGTTTAAAGACAACTATGTGACTCTGACATTTCTCCTCATGGCTGTATTTTAACAGGGCTATTTCACTTACTTGTTGCTTGATTCTGGGGTTCCATCTAATATAGTAATTCACCCAGAGTTCCAAGTGACGCATACTGGCAACTGGATATAAAACTCGATCGATTTCTTTCGTATAGAAGGGGTTTTTGAATTTCTCTTTATTGCTGTTGATCATTGACCATAAAGAAACTGTTCTTTCTGGGACTTTCTAGAGAGAGAAAAAAAGAAAGAGAAAGAGAAAGCTTAAACTTGGAAATGCACAAAGCTTTCTGCAGCCCACAACAATACAGTTCAGAATCAGCTGGAATCGCATGCTTTGTATCCCTGGGAGGGCTCCCAGCCACTTTCCGATATTTGCATAGATAATGGCCTCACTTGAGAGCCACTCTTCCTGCCAGGAGACGGGCACAGGATGTTACACTATTAAAAGCAATTCACTGACCTAAGGAGACTATTCCCAGCTAGGCAAACACTTAGGAACAGATGGGCGGCATGCTCTTTAATCCGGCAAAAATCAAAACTATCATAAGGTCCCACTGACTTTTAAAAATTTATCTATTTCTTATAGAATGACAAAATCTTAGCCAGTGTCTCCTCAACAGCAGGTATTTGGACATAAAGCTATTTTAGTCAACCATCCAGATGCTTCATCTACATCATATCAGCACTGAGATATTTGCGAACATGTGGCTAGCCAATCCCACAGTCTTCACGTTTTAACTCGGTACCCATTATATCATACGAAATGTCCAGTTTCACTGCTTTTGAATTAGAGCTCTTTACCAAACTTTGACCATAAACCGGAGGAAAAAATAAAGCTGGGAAATAAAAACATACAAGAACTTAAATTACTAATGGTGAAATTTTTTTTTTTTTTTTCTAGAAATCACCAACAGGGAACCAATGGTGAAATTTGAAACTCTCCCTCATAATGACTTCCGTAAGGTAATAGCACTAAAAAGTAGCTCAAAAGAAGGCTCAGAGTGAGTGAAGGCAGGGATGTCTCCGACATATGCTCATTAACATGAATGACAGTGATGATAGCATCACTCTGCCTTCCTTTGAATCCTCCCGAACCTTCACAATTGCCCTCCCATGTAAAAATCTCGACTGCACTGTTTATTTATATGTTCCTATTTATTTTTATGTGGACACATAGTTCTAAACAGCCAACATTTTAAACAACATCACTACGGGGGTAAAAAAACTTGTCTTTCACCTCTCTCCAGAAGCAACTGCGTCCGATTTTTTCCAGCTTTCTCAAAGTATGACCGACAAGCAAACATATGTGTGTAACGTATACAAATGGTTTACTTATAGCTTATGGACTGACTGATGCCTAGAGATTATCTAAGAAGCCAAGGCTGGCCCTGAACTCCTGGACTCACGTAATCCTCTTGCCTCAGCCTCCTGAGTAGCTGGGCCTAGAGTTGTGCCTGACTAACATGATATTTTGATATATGCAATCAGTTTAATTAACATAAAGGTCACCTCACATATTTACTAGGTTTTCGGTAGTAAAAACACTCGATATCTACCCTCTTACCAAATCTGATATATAACAACACACGGTCACTATCTCCCTCTTCTTGCCACCTGCACAGCCCCTGATAGCTCCTTCCATGTTCTCTGCTATTTCAGGTCCAACTTTCCATTCTGCAAGTAAGGTCAAACATTACTTGTTTTATTTCACGTAGCATAAAGCTCTCTAGTTCTATCCATGTTGCTACAAGTGACAGGATTGTGTTCCTTTTGATGCCGAGCAGTATCCCAGGGTCGTGTGCATCACACCCGCTCCACCCATCACCAGCCCACAGACACTCAGGGTTTTCCCATTTCTTGGCTATGGCCAACGGTGCTACAAGGGACAGACAGGGCTGTCTCTTCAGCACACTACCTGCATTTCCTTTGGACAGAAACCCACAGTGTTGACTGCGGTTGACATGGTACCTCTAGGCTAGTCTTTTAGAATACTTCATTGATAGACAAAAATTTCGTGCTTATTTATGGAGTTCCATGCTGTATTTTGATACACACATACACGGTGAAGGTTAAATTGGGTTAAATGTGTCTATCTCACTGAACATTTATTTCTTCATGGTGAAAGCTTTCGAAATCCTCCTGCCGTTTTGAAATGCAGTACATTAGCTTTATCTGAAGTCACTTTACTACGCAACAACACGCCAGAGCTTCTTGTCTTGTCTGTGACTATGACATAGTAGCCCCAGTCAACCTCCCCCTATCTCCCTCTCCCCCTGCTCACCCAGCCTCAGGAGTCACCACTGGACTCCCGACCTCTATGAGATCCCGTTTTGATTCTACAAGAAGCCTTCCTGCACCTGGATTGTTTTCCTTAACACGATCGACTCCATTTTCATCCACGTTGCTGCAAATAGATTTCATTTTTTATCGCTGAATACTATGCAAGTTGCTTCCTTTTTCTGGCTACCATGAATAGCATTACAATGAACGTGGGAACGCAAGCATCTCTTCCACAGACTGTCTTCACTTCCTGTGGGCATTTACCCCAGAGTGAGCCTGCCTGGTCAGACTATGGTTCTATTTTTAATTTGCTGAGGAAGCGCACACTGTGTTCCATAATGGACACTTTCAATTTGTGTTTTTAAGTGGTTTATTGGGTACTTCTCTCCATCTCCCTGAATAACATGCTTTTATCACTACCCCCGCTGCAGGCATTAACACTGACGCTGTCGCAGTGAGAATGTGTTTGCTTCCCACTTCTGCCTCACTCACACACTTCCTGTATTTTTTCTGTGACATTATTGCCAATACACAGCATAGCTTTGATTAGATCTGCTTTTAGCAGTCAGATTCCAATGACTAAGCAAATGCTATTTACAGCTGGGGCGCACAGTCCTGTTCAGAGATTACTTTCCTTTTCCTGCACACATTTTTTGTTTCCACTTGATGTCACAATTGTCTCTTTTGTTTATTTTTCTTGGCACTTACTGACTCACTGTCAAACTCTTGCTCCCGTATGTCAATCGCCCCTCGGGATGATCAAGCACGTGGGAGTGCTCCGGGCTTCACGTTCCGAGGGGCTCTAACCTGTGCCTGTTGTCCCCACTCTTGTGCTCAGTTCTCACCTAGGGTCTCTTTTGTGTGTCACTCCACAGGTACCCTCTGCCTTGCTCCAGGCCAGCGATGGCAAAACTTTGAGAGCTTTCAATGACACAGTCTGCTGTGGCACATGTGCCACAGGCTCACCACCACTGCTCTGGACAGTCTTCTTGTTTTCATGGAGTACATACTTCGGTTGCTTCCAGAGAAGGGGTGAGGCACGGGAGGCATTCTTGATATTATATGTTTCTGAGATGATCTTTGTTCTACCGTCACATTTGGTTGATGATTTGGTAGCTGTATGTATCTGCCACTTTCTTGTCACTGGGGCAAAATACCCAAGACCCATAATTTAAAGGCAGACAGGTTTAGTGTGGCTCAGTTTCCAGTGGGTTCAGTCCATGTTTGGCTGGCTCTAAGGCTGTTGGGGCATGGTGGAGGAAAGCTGCTCACCCCAGGGCAGCCAGGAAGCAGAGGGATAATATAGGAGCTAGGGACAAGAATACACCCCTCCAGATCACACTCTCCAGTAACCCATTTCCAACCCGGCTCTACCTCCAAACACATGAGACATTTGTCATGACACATGGGGCATTTTTTATCTCAACCATAACACTATAGAAAACTTGGTGGAAGATGTTTCCACTTAAAATTCTGAATGCATTGCTCTACTGGCACTAACTTCCAATGCTGCTAGTGAAATAGTCTCCCTAATTTCTATTTCTTTGCATAAACAGGTTAAATATCTCTGACCCAATGCTTGGGAGCAGATGAGTTTGGATTTAGTTGTTTTCAGATTTGAGGATATTTGTATACACATAATGAGATTTCTTGGGGTGCGATGCAAGTCTAAAAATGAAACTCATTGATGATTCCTGTTTATCTTATACATAGCCTAAAGGTAACTTTATACAGCATTTTAATGTGCCCGCGTTTTGGCCGTGACCCATCACATGAAGTCAGGTGTGAAATTTTCTACTTGTATCATGTCCATGCTCAATGGTTTTGGATTTTGGAGCATTTGACTTTATGGATTAGGGATGCTCAACCTATCACCCATTCCTTTTCTCTTTGGAAGTGTTGGGATCTTCTCTTTGGCCCTGACAATCAGAAACATCACAAAAAAATGTGTGTAGGTAATATTTTCATCTACCCTGCTTGATACTTGTCAAGCCTTCCAAATGGAAACTCACATACTTCAAATTTGAGAAATACTCTCAAATTATTTTGGTGATTTCCCACCCTCTGGCTTCCCTACTTCCTCCTTGTGTGACTCCTATTATTTGGATATGGGACTTGCAAGACTGATCTTCTAATTTTCTTCTCTTCATTTTATCTGTTTTTATTCACTGCTTTGTGGGAGATATTTTCAATTATGTCTTGCAACTCTTCTGAGTTTTTCAGTTTCCAAGTCCATTTCTGATCTCTAAATGTTCCTTCCAAATAACATCTTATTTGTGCTAGCAATATTTTTCTTATTTTCCTCGGGCTACTGAATAGTGGTTTCTTGTCTACATCCCTCTCCCTACCTGGTGACTCTTCTTCTCTAAGCTCCCTTTTCTCCTTCTTGCCTGTCTGCTATTATTTAAGAGCAGAGAAGTGAAGAACTTTCTTGGGAGCTCCGAAGTCCTCAATCTTGTCACCTTTTGGCTTCCTTGTGGGGAATGGTACCTACTTATTTGTTGGTACCTTTAGGTCCATCTTATAAAACTCAGTTTCCCCTGAGGTATTTTTAAAATTGAGGTAAAATTCACGTATCATAAGAGTTATCATTTTAATACTGTGGAATTCAGCAGCTTTTGGTCTGTCCACAATGTTGTGCAGTTACCATCTCTATTAGATCCCAACACTCTTGTTCCATCAGAGACTCCATATACCCTAACCAGACGCTCTCTGTTCTCCCATCTCCAGCCCCTGGAAACCAATCTCCCTTCAGTCCCTACAGAGTAGCCTGTTCTGCATGTTTTACAGTAGGTGGCCTTCTGTACCTGGCTGCTTTCACGGGCAATAATGATTTCAAGGTTTATTCATACTGTAATGTGTGTCAGTGCTCTTTATGGTCGAATACTACTCCATGACATGGATATGGTCAGACCCGTTTGTTTGGTCTTCCCATCCCGAGAGACATCTGGGGTACTCCTCTCCTTTGCCTACTGTGAACACAAACACGTGTAAGCTTTTGCTTCAATCCATTTTCAGTTCTTCTGAGTACATGCCTGGGAGTGAAATTTCTGAGTCATATGATAACTGTATACTTTGCTCCTTGAGGAACCACCAAGCTGTTCTGCACAGCAGCTGCACCACCATCCATTTCTGAGCATCCTTTGCCTCGCCAAGAGAGGCACTTCTTTTACATCCCTAAGGACCGGACAGTAAGGACCTGGTTGTGGAGTGCTGGGAACGGTACAGACCTGGGGCTGCGTCAGAGCAGCACTTCCCCATCCAGCCTCTCAGCAAGGGGCCTCTGCCCGAGTCCTTGGCTGTGAGAGGGAAGGAGCAGATCCGTTTAGCTTGTTCTAAGCAGTTATCCTCCCCTTCCACCCTAGGTTCTTTCCTGGATGGGGTTTCTCTGCATCGCCCAGAGGGCCTGCAGTGCAACGCGGCTTGTTCTCGGCTTCTATATCCACTGCTGTTGAGATTTGCTTTTCCTAAGCTCAGTTATTTCCCACTCATCTCCTGGCTTTCTAGTGTCTAACACCTGGACACTGTCTCCTTTCACCTCTTCTCTTTCTCTATTCTTACAGGTTCACACCCTTTAGACTTCCCTTTACTGACATTTTTATGGAGTTTCAGGAGGGAGATGTTGTATACTTTCAAAGTCATCCTGATCCTTGAGGGTAAAGCTGGTGTCTTATGAGCAGTCATATTCTTATTGCACGGCACACTAGATACATCTTGGAGACCCTCCACAAAAGACACTAGCATTTTCACTCACCTGTCTTTCCCGAGCAGATTCACAGTTGAATAAGAAAGTACCAAATCGGCAACTATACAGATGATCCAAAATTGTAATCAAAAAGCGTTCATTGAATTCAAAGGCTGTAGGGAACTAAAAAATAAATAAGCAAGCAAGCGTGAAAGAGTGAGTCTAATCTTTCTAGAACTGCAAAGCTATGTGGTAGGAGTGATGAAACATGGCCATACTGCGTGCTCTGGGAAGGATCGCCAAGGTTGCCGCCAGTTGCAAACTGGAGCTCATTTGTTGGCCGACTGAGAAGTTTAGATAAGGGTCAGGTAAACGAATAAAGATGAAAAGGTGGACAAAGTCCAGTGTTCTGGGCTTTCCTGGATATACAGGGTAGTGTAATTATGTAGGTTATTACGAGTTAGCAGACATGCCCATATACAACACATGCCAGCATAGAATGCACACAAAAGACAACTTGGCATTTTCAATTCTATTTATCTTCCCTTAGTAGAGATAATGTAGTTAAAATTTAATTTTTAAAACTTTACTATGGAGAATTCCAGACAAAGCAATGGTAACAACGATAAAAGAAAAATAGAACCCCTATGTACCCACCCCTTTAGATTCTTCAACTATGGCCAATCTTCATACACCTCAGTTTCTACTCTGTATCATTCAGGGGGTGAATCTCGTGTATTATAACAAAAGACTTAATCTAACTACCGAGTTGAGTATATATTCATTCCATGCATTCCTTACCTGTTTTGACATCTGCCATACACAATCAATAAACTGAAGAAAAATAGGAGATCGATCAGCATCAGCGTGGTTTTTATCACCGTGACCTATTCTCTATCAAATGAATTGGTAAAAATGATTTGTATTAATTTATGAGTACAAAACTGACAAAGTATATAACCCATAAAATGTGACACTACAACTTTGAAATCTGCCTTCTAGATGGCAAATTTCTTGGAGAATAGTATATTTTCTGTGGAAATATATATAATATATTACATAGTAACAGCAGGTTTAATAATAATGGAAATTAAGCAAATAAACATCCACAAAATACCAATAAAAACTGGCAAAGCATCCATCATCCTCTGTGGTTGACACAATGATATCACAGATTAGAATTTTGTATGAGCCCTGCATAGTTGCAGATAGAATGTCCTACTTTCCCCTGCACAGTGTATTCCAATACATCTAAAGAAGTCTTATAGTCCTGACTAGACCAACCCCAAAGGTTTCAGACATGACATCATGTCGAGGTATCATTAGTAGAATTAAAAGCTATTTTTCTATTAAAAACAAGACAAAACCCCATCTCGCAATGCCTTCATTTACTAAGCAATGATTCTTCCTGCTTGATAATGCATTCACACTACTTATATTTGGATGACAGCTAAAAGATGACACAGTGTTGTTTCTGAAAGTGACTATGAATTCCCTCCAAGGGAACCGCTAAAAACCGTTAAAAACGCTAATTCAAGGGGCACTTGGAAACAAGACTTGGCATGGTGAATTTTAACAAGTTGTGTCAAAAATATAAGAATTGTATATCCGAGAATAGTAACACAAAACCTCAAATTAGGGGCCCTAGGGATGTATCTCAGAGGAATAGCGCTTGCCTGGCAGCCCAAGACCATGAGATCGACTCCCAGTACCAAACAAAAAAACAACAAACAACAAAACAAACAAAAAACACCTACCTCAAACAAAAGTCTGACATTTATTTATTTATTTATTTTTTTGGTTTTTTTGTGACAGGGTCTCACTATGCAGTTCAGGCTAGCCTTGGGCTCACTTTGTAGCTCAGGCTGGTCTTCAACTTGCAAATGATTCTCCTGCCTCAGTCTCTCAACTGCTGCAATTACACGAGTGTGCCACTTCGCCTGGCATTCTTCTTCTTTCTTGCTTTTTCTTTTCTTTTTTGGGGGGTTACTGGGACTCAACTCAGGACCTTGTGCTTGCTATGTAGGCACTGTGCCACTGAGCTACATCCCAAGCCCCGAAGTTTGACATTTCTATAAAAGACCTTTGGCCTAACAGCTAATATACTAGTTCAGAGAAAACTGCCATCCTATCTGGTTTCTCTTATGCCATTTCAGTATAAGCATTTCCGGGCAGAGTCTACTTTACTGTCAGGCAAAACATAGATCAATGCATGTCGCAGCACTTTCAGCAACCCCAGGCAGCACTCCTGCGCAGTGGCTTTCGTGTGCCTCTATGCCCATTTTCATTTCAGTGCTAACCATGCAGTATGACAACTAGTTTGTTAAATCCCAGATGGCAGTGATCGGATTCAAACAGAGCTGTATTGTTTACTTACAGATGCAAATTTATGTCCAAAGCTTATCCATTCTTTCTGGACCAGGACTTCAAACCCTTCGATGCTCCTATAGAAGCTGTCTAACATCAGCATGGCCAGGGACGTCAGCTGAGCGGTCCTGTCCCAGCCATCACTGCAGTGCACCAGCACCGAGCTCTTCCCAGAAGAAACTTTGTCTGCGACTTGAATGGCTCCAGTCAGCACCAACTGCCAGAGAAAAAGATGCGGGTCAGGAGCAGTGCTCGGGGCCTGCTTGCACTGAGCGTGTACTTCAGAACTCCAGCAAAGTCCTGCTTTAAAACATCAACCAGTAACTAGAACAGAGAGAAACAGGAGAATGGAGCAGCAGAGGCCATGGGGTCTGCTTGTCTTCCTCAGTCTCCGTGGGCCGCATTCAGAGGTGCTCAGGTGTTAAAAACAAGGCCAAACTGTGTTCTCACAGATGCGACTGTAATCGAGTGCTAGGGCTGCCGTAATGGAGTGCATGCCGGTGATTCTAACAGCAGGAACCCTGGGAGCGGAAGTGTGAGATGAGATGCTGGTGGAACAGGTTCTGGCAGGAGCCTGCTACAGCCCCTTGTCCAGCAGCTGGTTTCACAGCAGTGTAACTAAGGTGTGCTCCCTGTGGGCCTGCCTGTGACCAAATGTTCCCTATCAGGAACAATGCCAGGCACACGGAAGTAAGGACTTAGACTCTCCAGGTCTTAAGTCATTGCATCTGCACAGACCTTAGCTCCAAACAAGGCCGCACTGTGGGGTACTGGAGGCCAGAATTTCAGTATACAGATTTTGAAAGGAACAATATTCAACCTGTAATAGCAATCACTAGCTGAACAGGTCTAGTCTAGACCTTAAAGGTAGGATACAATGGAAGTTACATAGTGGCTTTTTGACCAAATATGGGCTCTTACTTGGCTCAAACAGCAGAGTACTTACTGATCCTATAGGTAAAATGATTAACCTGGTAAAAAAGGGACCCCAGAAGCACTGCTAAATTTATGTATATAAAATACTTGTTTTTGATGATCTAGGTCCTCACAGAGGTATGCTTTACAAACCATAGCTCATGCTTATGCATGAGCAGGGTAAACTTTGGTGGCTCTACAACTGTGCAGCCATCAGCACCATCCAGCTGTAGAACACGGCATCACCCAAGAAGTTTCTGTATACCGACCAAGGTCATCCCCACTCAGCCTTGGGCAGTCACTCACTCACTTCTGGTAGCTGGAGTTTTGTCTTGACTAGAAATTTTGTGGACATTGAATCAAATGATACGTGGCTCTTTGTATTTGATTTCATTTATTTAGCATCATGGCTTCATCAGACGATAGATTTTCAACTGTTTTGAGTATTTATTTATAGCTAATAATGTTGGTGTGAAGTTTCACAGAAATAGTTTTGAAGGGAATAAAATAGTTTCATTATAAACTAATTTAAAACCTGAGTGTGGTGGCGCATGCCTCTAATCTCAGCGCTTGGGAGACTGAGGCAGGAGGATCACTGCAAGTTTGAGGCCAGCCTGGGCTATAGTGAATTCAAGTCTGGACTGAACCATACAGTGAAATCTTGCCAAAAAAACCACACTAATTAAAAAAAAAAAATGGTTGTACCATTTCACATTCCCACCAGCAGTAAGGAGGGTTATATCTTTTTATGTGCTTACCAGCTATTTACATACATTCTATCATTTTGAGTTGATTTCTGCACACCTTTTTTATTAGTGGGTTTGGGTTTCATTTTGGTAGCTTCATACAGTTACGTCACACACTGCGATCATTTTCATGCCCTGTCACTCCTCTTGTTCTGGCCTCCTTGCTAGTTCTACATTTTTGGGGAATTTCAATGTATACAATATATTTTGATCATATCCATCCTCCTTCATACCCGCTCCCCCTTAACCCCACCTCTGCTCTAACAATAGTCTCCTTTCTACTTTCTTGTCTTTTGTTAAGATTCCACATATTAAGCAGTACGTGCAGTATTTGTCATTCTGAGTCTGGCTTATTTTACTCAAAACAATTTAGAGATCCACCTATTTTCCTGCAAATGACAACATTTCATTCTTTTTTATTTCATTCTCCGTTGTATGGGTATACCATGTTTTCTTTCTCCATTTCTCTGATGACAGGCACCTAGGCTGATTCCATATCTTGGCTATTGTGAACTAAACACCATAAACGTGGGTATGCATGCGTCATTGCAGTGTGTAGACTTTCACTTGATCATAGGCAAAAGACCCAGAAGCAACTGTAGCATTTAGGCATTAATTCTTTTGGAAATCTGTCAGTATTTTTCTCATTGCTGAAGCAAAATACCCAGCACCAAAAGTTGAAGAAGGAAAGGTTTATTTCCTTTATCATGGTTTGTAGAGGTTTCAGGCAATAGCTAGCTGGCTCCAAGGCAGGGTGACATGGCTGAGGGGCATTTCAGAGGAGAAATAGTTCATAGCATGGCAGGCAGAAGGCAGCAAGCAGCCAGGGAGCTTCTTTCTGTCCCTATCCATTCGGTTACCTGCCTTTTGGGTGGTGCCACCCATACCCAGGGTGGGCCTTCCCATTGTCCATACTCAGAACTATGCCAAACCAATCAGTGGACTGATTTAGTAATCACACAAACTTGATCCCAGCATCACACACCCAGATCCAGCCACCCTCCCAAACTCCCACCTATGATTGCATGAGGCTTCAGAGCCCGACATCTAGGCACAAGTCATAACAGGTATCTACCACAGAGTGGTACAGCTGGATCATTTAGTTTTGTGAGAAACCTCCAAACTGATTTCCATAGTGGTTATACTATTTTTGTATTCTTGATGATAGCCACTTTGACTGGGGTGACATGAATTCTTAAAGTAGTTTTGATTTTTACTTCTTTAATGGCTAAAGATGTTGAACATTTTTCACATACTTATTGGCCATTTGTAGCTCTTTTTAGCAATGTCTGTTTAATTCACTTGCCCATTTACTGATCGGGCCATTTGATTTTTTGGTGTTAAGTTTCTTGAATTCTTTACACGTTCTAGATATTAACCCTCTGTCAGGAGAGTAGCTGGCGAGGGCTTCCCCCATCCTACAGGCTGCCTCTGCACTGTGCTAGCTGTGTCCCTTTGTGTGCAGAAGCTTTTAGGTTTGATGCAGTCCCATTTGTTGATTCCTGCTATTATTTTTGATGTTTCTGGGTCCCTATTTGAGAAGTCTTTGCCTGTGCCTATGGCTTATAGTGTTTCCCCTATGTTTTCTTTTAGCAATTTCAAAGTTTTAGCCCTGTGATTCACTTTTTTTTTGTTGGTACTGGGGATCAAACTTAAGACTTCACACTTGCCAGGCAGACACTTTTGCCACTGAGCTAAATCCCCGGCTGTGATCCATTCTGAATTGACTTTTGCACAGGGTGAGAATTAGGGGTATAGTTTTAATTTTCTACATATGGTTATGTTTCACCAGCATCATTGCAAGAGCACTAAAAAGGACAAAGTGGAAATATAAGCTTTGGACACCACCACGTCCTTCTGTCACTCTGCTGGGCTCTGCCAGCGGATGGGCATGAAGCTTGTGGTGGCCTCCCAAGGATGGTGGTCTCACTGTACAAATGTTTGTCCTGGTGTCAGGCACTGAGTTCTGGAACCGTTCTGCCACAGTGCTGGTTAGTGATGGCCAAGCCCTTAAGAGGCCATAAAATAGAGCAGGATACAGTCACCCCTGGAACCTGTGGTTGCTACCTTACATGGGAAGAGGGACTTTGCAGATGTAGCCAAGGTAGTGATTTTCAATTGGGGAGAGATTCTAGATTATCCAGTAGACCCTACATTACATGAATCCTGACAAGGAGAAGACAGGAGTCTTCACGCAGGCAGAAAAGAAGGCAATGTGACTGCAGGGTCAGAGTGTGGAGTGACATGGCTACAGGCCAAGGAGTGCCAGTGGCTGCACAGGGCCGAAAGAGGCAGGAACAGATTCTCTCCTGGAGCTCCTGGAGGGAGCACAGCCTGTGCATCTCACCCAGTCAGCAAGGCCCTGCCTAAGGCTGCCACCATCTCTGCTCTGCTGTCTAGACTGTGGTGATGTGGCCACTGCCCAAGGAGCTCTGGGTCACAAGAGGGTACACATGCCCATCTGGTCCCCAGCTTCCTCACATCCCTGGACTCCTCAGAGTACAGTGGCAGTTTCTTTCGTTTGATGTGCATCCCCCTTGCTGTGGACAAAACTCTAAAACACGACAAGGACCTTTCGCAGAAGGCTCCAGACCCGCATCTATTGCTACGCACCAAAATAAATAAAATAGAGGAAAGACGTAGAGGTTACAACAGAAACAATCTACTGGAAGATGAACTAGGTCAAACTTGAAGGTGTAAGTCACAGGAAAGGATTTTCTAAACAGAACCCCAGTTACACAAGACCCATGCATCAAGAATCAACAAATGGGGCCATATCAAATTCAAAAAGGTTCTACACAGCAAAGGAAACAATCAACAGAATGATGAGACAACTCAGAATGGGAAGAAATGTCTGCCAGTTACTAAGATAGAGAGTGTACAAAATCTAAAAAACAAAAATCAGACTCCTCAAGATAAAGGAAATGGACAACTGAGATAAAGAGACGCTTATCAGAAGAAGTAAAATGACCAATAAATATAAAAAAAGATGTTCAACACCTCTGGCCTTCAGAGAAATGAAAATTAAAACAATATTGAGATTCCATCTTACTCCACAAAGAATGGCCATCATTCAAACAGCAATAAATATTGGCAAGGCTGCAGAGAGAAAAAGAAACCTTTCTATATAGTTGGTTGAAATGTAACTGGTATAATCCTAGTAAAATCAGTATGGAGATTCCTCAAAACGCTGAAATTACAAATCCCTTTTGACCCAGTGATATAGGCATATTCATGTTTATAGCAGCATAACTCATAATAGCTAAAGATTGGAAGTGTCCTTGGACAGATGAATGGATAAAGAAGATGCGGTATTTACATGCGATGGAGCACTGCTCTGCCATAACAATAAATCTGAGTCACCTGTAGGAAAACGATGCAGCTTGAGTCCATAACGTGAAGTGAAATAAGTGCGACACAGCTCAAATACTACATAATTTCTCTTATACGAGAAACCCAAAGTATGAATAATTAAAAAATAAACCAAATAAAAGATGGTAGGAAACAGGGAGACAGATCTTTTGCAAACAGGAAGAGATGAAGGGAATGGGGAAGCGGGATGGGGAATGAAAAGAACTGAGCTATGTCAGGTCCAGGTGGCTCCTCCAGAGGGAGAAAGTCAACATGATGTGCTGCAAACATGGACTAATAATAAAATTTAAAACAAAAACACTCTTCCCCGTCACGCCTTTGGGACCTTCCTGTCTTGACCTGGCCCTACCTCCAAACCACACAGTCAGCTCATCACAGCAGCCCGTTCAGTGAGTGCACAACAGGGACGGAAAACAAAACTTCACTATGATCTTAGTGATGTGCCTGTTTAAAGTAGGCCTTTTTGTGGTCTACAGAACTAAATGGTTTCTAAAGGTGCCAGTTCCCCCAGATAGCTTCACATACTTCCACTTTTAAGAGAGTAGAGGATGTGTGATGCTTCTTTCAGGAGGAAGGATTAACCACAATAAAAGTACAAAGCTCCTCCTTTGAAATGACTCACACAGAGATTAGTTTCCTCTGTCTGGGCCCATAGGGGCACTCCCCAGTAATGGCTAGATAATAACCTGGCTGTTTATAAATAAACCTGCATAAAAGATGGAACTATTTACTACTGACAATAATGAAAGTGAAATCTCTGAAAACTCTAAAACTAAGCTGGAATGATGCTGTGAAATCTTTAATTTAGGTACACACATTATAAAACAAATACATAATTGTCAACTGTACATTCTTCTATTACAGAGAGTTTTTCTTTTAGTTTTCAATTTTTAAACATACAAGGAGAAATCCCCCATCCCACCAAACAGGCATTTGCTTTTATATATGCAAATATTTTTAAAAAGTATACTTGCCTTGATATGTTCTAACCAATGAGTAGACTCCAAACTGGACAACCAGTGAGATTCTTCTACATTAGGATAAACAATGTCTCTCACTTTTTTTAAGGATTCCCGCATAACATGAATATTATGAATGTCTAAGAAGGACAGTTCGGCATTGTGATACGCGTCATCACTTTCATATCCTCCTCCTGTTGCCTAGGAAACAAGAAGATATATAAAGTTGAGTTTTCTATTTCGCCAGTACCTTCCCCAAATATTTCCAGTTATTGCTCCTCCCAGTCTCATCCCAATCCCCTCCGACTTAAACAGCTGATGTGGCTTGGGTGGGTGGCCGGCAGTTTGCTGGGGACTCTTGTATTCAGGAGTCAAAAATCCTTTGCAAAATGCTAATTGCTGGCTCTTCCGGGTCTGCAGGGAGAGAGCAGTTTCCAAAAGGTCCTCATCGTCCATCAGTTCTGGTAGCTAGAGCAGTACCCTCGGGGTGAGGGGCACAAAGGTGGCCAACTGAGGTGGCAGCAGGTACCCCACCTTTTTAACAGTGTTCACACAGGACAAGATCCAGGAAAGGACAAGGACAAGCTCTGTATCAGACAGACCCAGGCCAGTAGCTCAGCTCTGGCCTCCCCTTAGTGTGTGACCAGAGGTGAGGGACTTAGCCTGAGCCTCGATGCCATCTCTCAAACGGCTCCAGAGGCCTCGCGGGACTACCACTGCCAGCCAATGTTAATGCTTCTGGTACTGTGACTCTGGCTGGCCTCTTACACAGATGTGGTGAGACAGGTATTACCACTGTCATTTGCAAACAAGAAAACAGAACCTTGGAGACACTATTTAGTCATTACCAAAGCCTCACAGGTAGTGAGTGGAATTTCAGTCTAATCCAACTTCCAATTCTGAACCTTTTCTACTAAGTCATGGAGAGCTTTCTGCTCTGCACACGCCAAGGACCAAGCGTTACACACAAAGAGCTCACAACGAGTACAAGGCTCTGAGAGGGGACAGGTGGTGACTGTCACCTACTGCAGCACCTGCAAGCGTTAGTTTAGCTCAGCTCCATGACCTGCTGAAGAGCACCTGTCTTCAACATGGACCAAAACAGGCACTACTGTTTGGTTTAGGGATCTGGTGGCACTCTGCTTAACATGTGCAAGATGGGGCTGTAAGTCACATGCCTCATTGCCAGGTCGCACAAGTATGACTGTCTCACTGGGAAGCTTTTTATTAATTTTACTAGAAAAAAGTCCAACTAGTCAAAGTGTTGGTACTACCAGGGTTCAAGCTGTCCAAGGGGACAGTCATGTGTGCCCCACTGATGGTTCAAGTGGGAGGGAATGTGTTTAAAGGCTCTGAAATGACACAGGACATGTGTGGCCTCTGGCCCTTTAAGATGTCACCTTGTCTGAGACTTGCATTGAAAGTCACCTCAGGCTAAGTTCCCACTGCCCTGGGAACAGCACAGGGAAACCCCTGCCTGGCACTGGAGAGTAAAGCGAAGCCCCCAGACAACACGCTGTCACTACGACATGTCTTTTTGCTTTTTTTTTTTTTACAACTACATGAAGAATGTACACTTAGAGCCAGGGCTGGAAGGCTGAAGCTGCCATGGGATTTTCCAGAATCGGTCACACTAAAGGTTTCCTGACTTGAATTTCAGCCCCGAGGAAGAAGACACCGTGCACTTTGCTATTCTTAAGGAGCTACAAGCCAGTAAGAAATCAGATAAACGGACCACTTTCCCCTCTGCCTAGCCGCCCATGCCACAGGCCTGTTGCTGTCTCCCTGCCAGTCACTTCTGCAACTGCAATCACAGAGCTGAGCTCTGTTTTGCTAGCTCTGAAAGCCTCTAATGCGATGATACCTGTCTCACCTGTCACCTTCCCTCAGACAGGTAACTTGCTGTTCTACACATAGGCTTTTAAACAATTATGGCGACTTTCAAAGAGATTCTTGACACTGGAGGTTCCTTTCCAGGTAACTGAAAAGTACATGTGTGGGAAAAAAGGAAAAATGTGCTTTTTACTCATTGCTAAAGTTTCTAACAAAACCAGACAATCCAGTTGCGCTTTTAATTCATCACGACACTGCCATGGAAACAGAAGCAGCTTGATACTAGAGCTTCCTGATCCCAGTTTTGTTTGTTTAATTTAAAATGTGATGCTGCTGGTTACATCTGGGACTGTAGATCTCTAAATATCCAGAGGGGAGGAACAATTAGGGCCAAAGAGAACAGAAGTCGGGAAGAGTACAAATCAATTAGTCAAGCACAGATTGGCTTTCCCAAGTTTGACTTCTCCATCTCAGGTTACTTCCGAAGTCTTCAGTTTTCCTTTCCTCCACAAAAAGGAACAGCCTAAATTACTTACTACAATGATGACAAGGTCTGAGGGTTCGTTGCCATGGATATAGACAACTAGCAGACAGACACATCGAGGAGGGGACCTGAACTGTCTCTCAAAGGATGACCCAGAGCTCTTCAAAGCTTGGGCCCCTATCCCCATGCCTATAAAGCCTAGAAAGAGGCTTATTTCTTGACTGTTAAAAAGGTATTCAAAAATTCTGCTGCTTAGAATGAGCTTTCGAGTGAATATAATTAAGGTATTCATTTTATACATTTTAATATTTTAAAATATTATTTCTAAATACTTCATTTTAATGTTATATCCTATTTCTAGTTCTAGATCTGTACATGGAAATACTGTGTCTTATGCGTGTGTTCACTCTGAATTATATATGAAGGATAATAGGAACAGAAAAATAAAAAATTAAGGATAATCCAAGAAGCTATTTAGATTTAATTTCCTAAATATTTTACTTATAATTCCTAATGGACTAATCCTTTTAACTTCCAGAATGCTTTAAATCTAAGTTCAAGAGGGGCTGGGGATTTTCAGCGGCATAAGCGCCTTCCTTGCAAGCAGGCGGTCATGAGTTCGATTCCCGGTACCGATTAAAAAAAAAAATCTAAGTTCAAGATCATTCCAAAACCCACACCAACCGTGGTTAATAAATAGCAGCTCTATACACATGTGTGGTGCTGGGACGGGGCGTGGGTTAAATGTGCGGGACAGATGACATGTGCCACTGGATGTCACACAGATGCCCCCTGGGAAGCGGCAGAGGCTGGGAGCGAGTGGCTCGGGGCCGGGCCCCCTGTGATCATGCAGGAGCCACGCCGGCAAGGAGAGTAGTGAAAACACAAATGGAGACACCGGATGTAAAACCGTGTCGATCTGGGCCAACTGGCCTTCGCCTGCAGCAGCTCCTGACAGTGACACCACAGAGTCACGGGTGTTCACAGTGGTGACACTAGACAATTTCAGGTGCTTCAGATGGCAAAATGAAAAGTGATGCAGACTTCTTGGGAAGCACTAAACTTTTGTGTGTGTGTGTGTGTGTGTGTGTGTGTGTGTGTGTGTATGAGCCATTCACACACACAGATCTACTTATGTCTTGAAATCTTAAGCAAATGAGAATACACATTTATAAGTGGATACAGGTAGGGGAAGAGAATGTCTGCACAAAGCTACAAATTTCAGGTTCAAAAGGCTGAGGCCCAAGGATCAGTACAAGTTCAAGGCCAGCCTACCTACATAGCAAGACCCTGTCTGAAGAAAACCAACACTACCTTTTACCTAAAAAAACTTGCTCTCTCTCTCTCTCTCTCTCTGTTTTTTGTTTTTGTTTTTTTTTTTTGAGACAAGGTCTTGCTGTATAGTCTAGGCTGGCCTTGAACTCAAAGCAATCTATCTGCCTCAGCCTCCCGAGTGCTAGAACTACAGGTGTGTGCCACCATGCCCGGCTAGGAAAACCAGTTTTCTCAACTATTAATTTAAACCCATGTACCTAAAGGCCCAGATACCTGGAAGGTTGAAGCAGGAGAGAATTGCTTAAGCCCAGGAGTCTGAGACCAATCTGGGAAATATATTGAGATTCCTTCTCAATAAAATAAAAGAAAATAAATTCAGGTATTGATAAAAGTCGACAAAAGCATTCACTGAAAACACTGCGCACCACATGTAAACTAAGTTTCTATTATGTCACTGACTATACTTACCTTGTTGGCCACTGCATTTACACTGGGTCTTGCATCGTAGATGGTGAGTTTAGAATTCTGTTTATTAGTCTCCCTGATGGCATCGAGATATTTCTCATCATCTTTGTTTCGTTTTCCACTCATACCAACAAGAGGCTGACTGCACCGCACAATGGCTGTTTTGTTTTCAGGATGAATCCATGACAGCACCTATGATTAATTCAGAAAGTTTAGAAAATAAGTCTCAAGAAAACAAAGTCAGGTACGGTGGTGCACATGTATCATTCCAGCATTTGGGAAGCTGAGGCAGGAGGATTTCTGGGAGTTTGAGGCCAGCCTGAACTACATAGCAAGACCCCATCTCAAAAAGACAAAACTAAAAGAAAACAATGAAAGCTAGAAATGAAGCACTGCCAATGGCAACAAGTGACTCTGACTCCCACAATTTGCAATTTCACCGCGTGCAACTGCCCGGAAACATGCACACTGAGGACTTGCGGGAATAACTGGATTGATTAGGTGCTTTGTCAGTCTTTTCTCAGTTAGCACCGATCCAACAGAGACAAAATGCTTACTTCAAACAAAGCTATCTTGCTTAAAAGAAACAGAAACATCCTGATGTTATGTGGTGAATGCCATAGCTTGGACTGGGGTTCACTGCCATAGGGAAACAACTTCAGTCAAAAGCAAGACAGGAACGGAATCATCTCTGATGCAATACGGTGCTCAGAATATGAACTCGCATCTGCAGGTCATTTCCCCAGCACTCTCCAGTCTAGAGTCTTGCTTTTTTTTTTTTTTTTTTTTTGTTTTGTTTTTGTCTTTTTGAGACAGGGTCTTGCTATGTAGTTCAGGCTGCCTTGAGCTCACTTTGTAACACAGGCTGGTCTCAAACTCACAATGATTCTCCATCTCAGCCTCCCGACTGATGGGATTACAGGCGTGCACCACTATACCTGGTTCAAGTCTAGAATCTAATGCAGGAGGAAGGAAACTCCAGGGAAGCAAAGGCCTCGACCAGCCAGAAGAGAGCTATGGGGCAGCTTGGAGAACGGAGCCCAGGGCCACTGGTCAAGCCCTTCCCACAAGTCTGCCGCAGGTGCCCAGCTTTCTCCTGACATGACTTCCTGAAGCCCTGAGCTGCACATCCAGGACAGGGAGCTGCTGGGTGTAAGACACAGATTGTGAGAAACTTCTCAAAGAGACATGACAGCCCAGCTTCTCATGCTCTTTAGCACAGTATGACAGTTATTGTTGCAGGATGACAATTTACTGAATATTTCAAGAGTCACTGGAGAGGATTTCCAATATTCCCAACACAAACTAGAGAGAAGTATCTGAGGCGATACTTGTAGCGCTTGGCCTGATGTCTGCAGGATGTGTTGTAGACACTTAAATGGTGCACTGTACCCTATAAATACGTACAATTACCATGTGTTGCTTAAAAATAAATGCTACAATTGCTGGGCTTGGTGGTGCGCGCCAGTAATCCCAACACTCAGGAGACTGAGGTAGGAGAATTGCCACAAGTTTGAGTCCAGCCTGAGCTACATAGGGACTCAGCAAGACCCTGTCTCAAAAAAAAAAAAAAAAAAAAGCCTGGCAGTGGGGAAGGGCAGATCACGGCCGGTGACACTCAGACCCAAGACGGAACGCAGCATGGGCACCCAGGCTTGCTTCACACACTACCGAGAGGCTCACCCTCTCTTAAGTCACCCGCCATGAGAGCAACAAACAGAGGTCTGCATCGGAGAAAAGATGGTACGATAGTAAAGAGTGCTCCTTCAATCTCAGAACCAGTGTCTGAGTCCCTGCGCCACACCAGAGACCAACTGGGCACCTCCACAGACCGTGTCTGCCCTCACACGCAACGCCCCGAGCACCTGCCACCATCCTCGCACTGATGGACAGGAAAGACAGGAGGAGGTCGCCCTGGGAAGGGCCCTCACTGAGTTTAAACGGGCTCACTGGCCAGACACTGGCCTCTGCCGACGCCTTGCACTCCCTGCCCACTCCCTTGTTTTACCTCCTAAAATCTCTGCGGAGCATCCAACCCCCTCTTTCAAAGGATGGCCACTGTGGAGCCCAATGGACGCAACAATGCTCATTTCACAGCATCAGCTACTAGGCAACCTCTTGAAGTATGTGGCACTATGTCACATTATTCATATTTAATTATTACCTAGAAGCCATATATAATTAAGGATGTACACAAAAATTTACTGGCTGAGAGATGGTTATCACAACGCTGTGTATAACAGCACAAGATTAAAGAGCTTAAATATTACATGGGTTCTCTTATAGGAGAAACCTAAAATAGAAATAAAGAGCAAAATACACGAGAGAGGACAGGAAACTGGGAGAGGGAACCTTCTGCAGAGGGGAAAGGAACTAAGAGATGAGGGGATGGAGGGGGGAGTGGAGGGAAGGGGATGGGAATGGAATGAGGATGTGTTATGTTCACGCACCAAGTACTGCAAACACAGATGGATAAAAGATAAAAACACAAAGAAAGATTACAAAGAACCCAGATGTCTCACAATAGAAAACTGAGAAGTCTCAGCGTGTCCACATCCTCCTTATCAATGGGAGTGTTGGCTATCAGATGCTGCTGGGCAAACCCAAAGAGGGAGAGCTGGAAGCGGGGAGGTAGATCTTTCTCAGGTGCGAAGGGGACCGAGGGCCGGAGGGAGGGGCAAGGGGACAAGGAAAGCGATGGAACAAGGAAGGGAAGGATGTGTCACCCACACCCGTCAACTCCACACCGAGAATGCAGATGCTGTGTACTGCAAACGTGGACTCATAAAGATAAACAAATAAATAACACGAGGTGTACAAAAGAGACAAACACAAATTATAAACGAATTTCAGTTTCTAAATACATACATAAAAATGCACAGGAGGAACTCTGGGGACAGATGTACTAAACGGTCCTCACTAGGTGGCAGGCTTCTTTTTGCTTATCAGTATTTACTAAAACGTCTGGAACAGACTTCCATAAAATTAAGAAACACTTGTTTGAGAACAAAGGAACATGTGGCGAGTAACAGGAATATCAAAGCATGAGGATTATTTCATTACCCTGTGATAGGGTATTAACACGTATTTATTTTACATATGTTTTTATTTGAAATGAAAATACCAATGCTTTCATCGTAAAGGGCACACATATTTCCTGGGGGCCAGAATGTGTACAGGAAAGATCGTATTACCAGGCTTAGTCCTTTCCTCCAGTAGATATTTATCAATATGGAGAAGTGATGGGCCGATGAGGCTTAGCTTTTTCTTTGTTGTGGAAAATTAAATTTTGTGTTCATCGCAAACTAAAGGGCTCAATAAAATGCCTGCATAAAAGCTGAAGAAATGCTATTTGCCCCACAGGTAGCACAAGAGGGCAAAGTACTGGATCAAGATGGTAGACTGAGGCCAGAGGCACGGGCACAACTGTTTCATTTCTTCTCTTCCCCCACAACCTATGAAATACACATGCACACACACACACACACACACACACACACATGCACACGTGGATGCAGCGGATGCTTCATAAGTACTAAATGAGTAAGGAGACAAGAGCATCCCGCACCCTCACCCAGGGCACCCTGGGCGGGGCACGCAGAGCGAGCACTTGGCCGGGTCAGTAGTGTACCTGTGGCTCTGGCTCAGAAAAACCCATCTGGGGGGCGCACAAGTGACTGCAGCTTGGAACCCTAGCCTTACGAGCACCGTGGAACCCACCAAGTCAAGAGCACACTTTCTGCCACGACCTACATGGTGAAAATATGAGCAGACACTCATAACCTGAGAAGCAAGAGAACCTGGAAAGCTACAAGTCATCTTAGGCCGGCAGTGTGCGCAGGCTTCTCACCAGTATCCCTGGAAGGACAAGAATGTCCAGACGCGTGACTTAAAGGCGTGGGGACATTCAATCTTAATTTCTTCTACTGCTGCTTTTAAAAATCTCCTACTCTGAAATAAAACCCAATGTAGGTATTATGACAGACTTTGAAAATTAAGAGGGAAAAATGAGCTTGCAATCCTTAGTCCACAGAATGTAGATGATGCAGAAGACAGCGCATGACACATCCATAGCCACTAAGGACCACCAGGGTGCTCTGTGCACTGCGCCCAAGTCAGCTTGGGAAGGGGGCTGAGGCAGCTTGCAAAGCTGACCAGAACAAACTCTGCCTGATCGCATGGAAGGGACATGGCAGCTGGCATGCAGGACAGTGTGACAGTCACGAACAGCCAACCTGTCCTCCCGCCCTGAGCGTCGCGCCGTGGGGAGCCTCGCCCCCAGCACTCACCGGGATTCGGTTTCGGGATCGGAAGGCGGCGACCCTCCTGAGGTCTTCATCCGAGGTGCGATAGGGAACCATGAGCAGGGCCGGGTATGTCTCGCAGAGCTCGTAGCACTTGTTGATGAACGTTATCCTCCAGTTGTGGTTGGGCAGGCCCTGAAGGAGACAGGAAGGCGAGTGCAGCTCAGTGCGCCCAGGCCCGGACTCTCTTCTTTCTAGTAGTAGGTGTATATGCCTGTGACCGTGGGTGATGGTGGCTGTCTGCTTGTCACCAGGGGGTCAAATCCAGGATCCAGACAACATAAGAAGACGAGACAAAACACTGGTGGCTTCTACAAGTCTAACCTATCTTTGTGAATATGGATGCTCTTGAATGGGAGATTTTCTTTTATTTGTTATCAACATTCTTCCCCACATGTACAACGCACATAAATCCAAGTTGTCCCCCAGCCATGCACCTCCCCCACCCCAAGACAAGTATCATGGGTATTTCTGTTTCTACTGAGACAAGGTCTTGCTACGTGGTTGCCGTACTCACAGATGCACAAATACACACACGGAAGTGAGCTCGGTAGGTGTGCGCTTTGGGGACAGACATTGTACCTTTTCTTTAGGTCTGGTCCTAGAGACCACGGACCAGATGTTGAGTCTGATGCTGAGTCCAATTAGAGAGTTTTAAGGCCCATCAGAAAGTTATAAGAAAAAGAGATCGAATATAAGGGCAGACTCCAACAAAATACTTTCGACAGTTCAAATATGCATGCAATATTAAAAACGGGAACTGTGTGGTTTCAAGCTAGAACTTTATACTAAAGGAAAGTCTTAAAATTACCAATAGTGCTCCAGAAATCAGATTATTTAATGTCTTCTTCTTTTTTTTTTTATCGGTACTGGGGATCGAACTCACGACTGCCTGCTTGCAAGGCAGGTGCTTATGCCGCTGAGCTAAATCTCCAGCCCTAGAAATCAGATTATTTTGATGCATAATGTTACAGAGGTCTTGAAAACATGAACACTTTTTTTCTGGTACTGGTAATTGAACCCAGGGCCCCGGCATTAAGATATATCCCCAGCCCTTTTGATTTTTATTTTGGGGTCTGGCTAAGTCACTAAGCTGCCGAGCGTGGGCTGGAAGGTGTGAGCCTCCTGCCTCAGCCTCCCAGAAGGCCGGGGTTACAGGTGGATGCCACTACCTCCAGTACAAAATGTTTTAATCGTCATTTTTCCACCTCAGTAGCTGGTCTAGAATAGAGGTCACTGAAAATGACAGGTGCGCACAGCTTTGCACACTCAAAGCTGATTTGTGGAAGAAACAGAACCCAGTTTGTGTTCTAGAGTAAAACTCCTGCACCAGAACCTCAGAGCATGCAATCTACTGCCAAATGTGCGAAGTTCAAACTGGAATCAACCTAGGTCCACGGCGGTAGAAAGGGTGGCTATGAGTTTGCATTTGCTGCCTTTTCACGCAGGCAAATGGGCTTGATTTGATGCTCACAGCTCATCCAACAAAGTTCCCCAATTAGTTTAAGGACCTTATCCAAAAAAGTTATGAAAACTCCACTGGGAACCTTCCAGTTACTCTGCAGCTTTGTAGAGTCAAAATGCGGTTCTTGTTATTTATAATCCGCCCATACTCTTCACAAAACTGCTACCAGGGACCTTCGTCTCTGAACAACGAAGCTGGATCAAGCCTCCTGCCTTTTTTAAATAGCAAACAAACATGCATGTAGGTGAGGTTTACAGCAGACAGCAGGAAGGCAACTGAAACACATGCTCATGCAAGATTCTGTGGGAAGAGATGTCAGTATGGGAAAACACTTCTAATGCATTTGACTGTGCAATTCAGAATGAATATATTAAATGGAAGTGTCAGTAACAGCTGGGCTCTAAATACACAAACAAATAGCAATATTGGCTCCTAAGAAGTAAAGTATAGAACCTTAACTTTTCTAGACCCAAGTGTCTTTTATTTCTTAAATGCAAAACTGTTATTCTTTATGTAAGGAAGGAACCAGAACTTAGCCATTTAGTTTTCGGTGCGGCTGGAATCTGACTATGGAGTGAGCTTACAAATTTCACAGGGCTGTAGCATGTGAAGGATACCACTGCCACTAAAGACATCTAGCAAGGATGTGACTGGTTCTCACAAAGCATGGCTGGTGACATCCTGTCGCTATGCATGTTTGAGGTTTCACCACCCCCTTACCTGCCGCTGGTACTCTTCGACTGGATTATAAACAGTCCACCCATCCACATTAAACTTCTCTTCATTTAAAAATGCAAATAATGGCTAGAAAAGGGAAAAAAAGAATTTCAAGTTCAGCGTGAAGAAACAGTCTATTAATAGAACATCCTTTGATTTTTCAAGAAATAAAATCTGTCAGATTTGCTGACCATGAAATTACAACCCAAACTCAGACTTATAACAAAGAAACAACCATGGAAAACTCAGACGAGATGTACAGTAACTCCTATCTTGAGGAATAATTACTTTTGAGACCTCAATTTTCTATGGATACAAACACCTTTTTCTTTTTTTTAAATGGTGCTCTAAACACACACACACACACACACACACAACACACACACACACACACACACACACACACACACACATAGATTCAGATTTCCAGACCAAAACATGCCTATTGATTTTCAGCAATGTTAGCAATTGATCAGGTAAAACTGATTAAGAAAACAAAACACATTTGGGAATGATTGTTAAACAGTGCAACTCCAAAGAGTACAATGACATCCTTATCTACATCAAAGGGATGGGCATTAAGGAAACTCATAATTAACTGCTGTGTGCTCTCAATCAATATGCTATGGATCAACTTCAAATGCCACTTGTACCCTAGTGACTGGAAGTGTCTCCAGTGCTCCAGTGCCCACTCTGAATTACGGATGCACACAGCCCACTGGGTGTCACATCCCCCCTTGCACCCTGACCGGCTTCAGAGTTACCCGAAGCTGAATGTGTGACTCCACGTCCTAGTCCTGCTTTTTCCAGACTCCCTGTGCAGCCCAGGACGGCCCCAGCCTTCTAGGTGACAACCAAAAATCCGGCAGTTGCCCTTGTTGCCACATGGCTACCACCCCAATTGAAGCCACTGGCAGTGCTTTCCCAGCAAAGTACAATAACCTCTAACTGCTCCTCTTCTCATCTTTACATCTCCAATGGCTGAGTAATGGTGTCACAACCGAAGTTACACTGAGTCATTCCCCTGCCAAAACCGTCCCATGGCTTTCCATCTGGCTTAGGGTAAAAGCAGAAGTCCTTCCAATGGCCAAGGTGGCTATCTGTCACCTGGTCACCTGCCCACCACCAAGGCTCTGCTGACTACCTTGAGTACTGCACTCCAGCTGCATGGACTTCCTGTGCCTAAAAGCACCAAAGATGCCAGCCTCAGGACCTTTGCACCTGCTACTCTGCTGGCTATAGTTCTCTCCTCTTATGGCTTCTTTTCACTTTCTGCTCATCTCTGGGGTCATTCATAGAGGGAAATGTGTGCACCTTGAGGCCATGATGTTAGGTGAAATAAATCAGACACACAAGCTTAAATAACACATGGTCTCTCTGATGTGAGAAACCCCAAATAAAAATAAATTAAAAGAGGAAAATACAAGATCATAGAAAGCAAGGAGAGCAATCTTTTGCAAATGGGAAGGGAACCAAGGGATGGAGGGAGGAGGAAGGGAGAAGGGGGAGGAAAAGAGAATGGAGACGTGTTCTGCGTACACATTAACTCCCCACCAGGACAGCGATCCTTATGCACTGCAAACGTGGACTAATACAAATTCAAATTTAAAAAGGTTGCCTTAAAAAGCACAGGAAATCAACATGCTGCCCTCACAAGTCCACCCTACGGCCTTTCCCTATCACTCAGAACCATGTGATGCGTCATCGTGTTCTTGTTTACTACTGGGCCCCCCTGGGCCCCGCCCGCAACCTGGGCTCCACGCAGGCAGACCTTCACTTTGCTAGCATCTTCTATGCCGGAAGACTACCACAGAAAGCACCCGGGCCAGGTGGGCGGAACCTGTAGTGCGGCAAATGACACCGCAGAACTTTCTCTGGCAGTGCCATGCTCAGGCACATTCCTGGAGGTCTGCCACTCCAACCTGCTGTCCCTTGCTGGCCTGGCCTTTAGAATCTAGGTTCCCTCCCCGCAGTACAAGGAACTGCTGGGAAAGCTGACGGCATGGTGTGCTGTCTTTCTGGGTATGAAAGAGCGTAGAGTGAAAACTCAAACACACCAGAGCAACCTTCTCCAAACTTCCCCACCGGTCTCGATGCCTAGCAGCGGGGGCCTGAGTGCTGTGTCCTCCACACAGCCACTGCTCTGACCACGCATTCAGAATGACACTGACCTTGTTGAGCAGTAAGCCGAGGCGCTGGCCTGACTTGCACCTTTGGCAATGCTTAATTATTCAGTGGTGCTGGGGAAAAGCAATGGCTCCGTTACCCAAGCTGCACTTAGGCAGAGAGCTTTTCGTGAAAGAGCATTAAAATGTGTGGAGTTTTTCGCTATCCATAAACAAAGCCACGAGACATGGCGAAGTGTTCCCTTGGCAACAGCCCATCACTCTGAGCGTTGGCTATGACACAGTTAGCACCTGGCACAGGGAAGCACTTGAGGGTGCTGAGCGCGCTGCAGACAGCAGCAGATGATGGACGACAGTCACTGACCTTAGAAGCAAACCTAGCACTTGCTCCCTCCAGATAAGTTCGGGATTGCTATGTGATTTTTGTTCTTTTAGTTATTTGCATTTTTCCTGTGAAACTCAAGAGAACATGGTGGCCTTTTAAAAACAAAGTAGTGACAGAAACAGTTTATTCTTGATGCTAAGAGTCAAGCTTGCACCCCAAATATTTTGGGAAAATTTATGAGTCACGTAACTGTCAAATATTCCTCATCGTGAAGTAACATGGCAGCACATCTGATACAGCATCACAGATCAGGGTAGACAGGACCAAGTGTTTAAACTAAGGTTTTCCCCATCCAAATAAATTCAGTTACAATCATAGAAAAACATTTTTTTTTTGTCTTTTTGAGACAGTGTCTCGCTATGCAGTTCAGGCTGGCCTTCAGCTCACTTTGTAGCCCAGGCTGGCTTTGAACTCACAAAGATCCTCTTGCCTCAGCCTCCTGAGTGCTGGAGTCACAGGCGTGAACCACCATGCCTGGCTGGAAAACATTTTTTAGAACTGTATTACTAGCTAGTGTTTATGCAGTCTTTTACTTTAAAGACTGGGTTTTCTATAAGTTACTTGGTTCAACTGAAGCAAACTTTTTTTTTGAGACAGGGTCTCACTGTGTGGTTTAGGCTGGCCTTGAACTCACTATGTAGTCCAGGTTGGCCTCAAACTTACAATGATCCTTCTGCTCGGCCTCCCAAGTGCTGGGATTATAGATGTGCATCACTATGCCCTGCTTCTAAAAGAAGCAATGCTGATATTTTCTAAAGAGAATGTGCCAGGACTAACTTTCAAAATGTTTTAACTTTTCCTTACAGATTCAGATAAGAAAACAAAGAATTTCAAAATATAAGCTCTCACTAGAGAAACATAAAGGTGGATTACCACAAAAGCAAAACAAATATCAAGTGTTAGAGAGGCTAACCAAACCCATCCATCTGTACATCATTATTAAAAAGTAGAAGGTTCCGACAAGTGGCAGCCTGTTACAAGCCTCATTTAAGCTCCTGTCTGAAAACTGCTCACATTTGAACTTAGTGTATTATACATCTTCAGGGTTTTGGCTGCCACTTATTTTCTCTTCCAGGCAATACCTTTTTAAGGCTTTGCATTTCTTTGTGCTTTACTAGTAGATATGGATACAACCTCAGGTGGGTCAGTTTGGGAACTGGATGTGAAGCCGGGGGTGGAGCGTCTTCCCTTCTAAGCCCCAAGCAGGGAGTCCTGCTTGCCAAACCTTTAGATGATGAGAAAGTCTGCCCCATTAACCAGCCAGGCACTGACTTCAGTTCTTTGGCTGCAGGAAGCTAACAAAGGATTCGGCCCCAATGTAGCAGGGTCTCAGCACAGGGAGGGTGTCCTGTGGGACCTTTGCTGCTGGCTGCTGCCTGGGGCATGGGCCAGGGCTCAACCTCGGAGTCAGGGTGGACTGGGGCGCCCAATGCTTGTGGCCCACCTCACGCCTTTCGAGCTGAAATCTCCAGGGGTGATGGCCCTACTGGCCTGATCCTAGCAAGGCCACAGCACCCTTGGAAAAGATATGGTCAAGTTATTGGGGGTGGGGGATTGATTTGCTTTTATTTAAAGTCATTCACAGTACTAACTTAAATTTCCAGGTAGCTGTGGAGAGACACACATGGCCATTCGTGCGCCCATCAGCCAGCCTTACCAAATTTTAGCACAATATCAATGCCAGGAAATTCATGGCAGAAAACAGATTCTCTACAGTGTCTAGCCCTAGCTCTGCAAGTGAGCAAGTCTTCTCTTACTTTGCTCTACGCTGTTCTTTGGGCATTTCATCCATTCCAGTCTCAACTAGTCAAAAGATATTCTACACGGAGATTTTTAAAAATCCAATCATGTGCATTTTTCCACATTAAAAATAGCACAATGTAACATTTGCAAAATGTGAAAGGACAAAGTTGAGGCAAAATTCTCTGATTTCCCACTCGGGATAAAAACAGCTCTGACACAGGGAATAGAACTTGTCATTTTAATTCAGCTACATTTAGCACTGTTGTGTTTTCTGAGGGAAAAACTTCAAAATGACAACAGATTTTAGCTTTCATGTAATAAGCCATTATTTTTAAATGGCATCTATATAAAGATGTACTAATTTGATTAAAATACCTAGACTGGGGTTTCTTTTAACTTAGTGAATCTATAACTTTCCACTGGTTCCTAGGTCTCCTTTGGTGGGAGAGACAGCTGTCTGTCACTAACTCACGAGTCCCTTTCATTAAAGACGTGCAGTGGGAGGCCCAAACTCAATGTCTGATACTGATAGCAAGATAGCCAGACTAGAAAAAACTCAATACTGTTTCAAATCAAAGACCGCTAAGGAAGAAAATCAAATTTATAGCACTTGAGAATACAATGCACATTTAAAGAACTTTCACACATCCAGGTATGGTGATGCACACCTGTTATGCTAGCACTGGGGAGTCTGAGGCAGGAGGCTTGCTGAGAGTTCAAGACCAGCCTGAGGTACAAAGCGAATTCAAAGCCAGCCTGGAACACACAGTGAGACCCTGTTTTAAAACAATAAACAAACAAACAAACAAACAAAAAAGAACTTTCACACAGTA